TTCACCCCGCAGACGCTGCACCCCGATATCCTGCGAGAGCAAAAGCCCCAGACCTGGCATCATGTCTTCCTCCCAACATACGGCCGGGCCGAGGCGGACGACGCGCAGCGTTTAAATTAAAGAGAAGTTCGTAGCAGACCCCGCGGGCAGTCTCAATGTACGTTGGGCGGCGTTGTTCCACACAAAGGTAGGCGTCTTTCACGTCGCCGCAGAGGATAACCACGTCGTGGTTGCTGCACGCAAGGGCCGCGAAGAGCTTTTGCAAAGATGCCAAAGAAGCCGGCGAGTAAAGGTCACAAAGGTCAGGCTGCAAAAAGCGGAATTCGCGAGCCACCAATCGGGATCTACGGACCCAGCCATCTCTGAAGCGCCAATCACGAACGAATTTGCAACTCAACTTCACCATGTTTTCTTTCCTCCCGGAGTCCACAAGAGGCTTGAGCACGCCCATGTCGAGGAGGCTTTTTTCCTCAACTTTGTCCATCTCAAGGTCCAAGGCGCAGAGGTCGTCTGCACCCAAGGAAGGAGGACCTTCTTCGTAAGCTCGCCTTTTTCCATCCTCCAAAATGCCCTCAAGGTCCCAATCAACACCAGCATCAGCATCATCATCTCCATCCCCCTGACCAAAAAGATCAGAAGGTTCGGGCTCGTGGCCCGTTGGCAAGTCCTGTTCCAAGGTCCTGGCCACCATATTGTCAGGGATGAGCTCTTCCGACATAGAAGAGCCATTGCTTCCACCTGGCAGACTTATGCTCATATCACCTTCTCGGGCCGAAGAAGCTGGAGGGGATGCTGCCGAAGAGGGGGGCGAGCTTGAAGACGAAGAGCTTGAAGGAGCTTCAGGTGTAACTCCCGCTTCAGTATTGCCTCCTTCAGCATGTGGTCCTTCACCTGCAGCAGGAGGCGGAGGATCCACTGCAACAAGGACGGGGACCCTGCTGCTTTCCTTCTTCCTGCGCTTCAACGGGATTGACTCCAGAGAAAAATCCCAAGGAACACCCTTCATGGTCTTAAGGAGCTCGACGTCGTAGTTCTTGGGTGATCTCCTCACCGTTCTGGCAAAGTGGATGCCAGAGGCATTCGCTAAGATATGCAGCTGGCCAAGGTCCGTGCGCCCAAGCCAAACGAAAGGTTTCCATGGCTCGCCTTTGCTTTTGTTCCTTGGAAGAACCTGGGCGTAGACTGCACAACCAAACGGGCAAAGCTTCTGCGCATAAGGCCGTCCATGAACAAGTTCGTGGCTAGTGCAGCCATCTTTGTGCACCGAGAAGCGAGAAACAAGAAAGCCAGCGTGCACATAAGCCCACGTGAAAAGAGGATCATCACTGTGAATTTTCAGCCATGTCCTCTGGCGAACGGTTGCAAGTAGACAGTTGCCAAGGTTGCGAACGGTGCTGATGTAACGCTCAGCATGCAAAGCTCCATGGGCCGTGGAGTGTGGAGCGACAGGCTCCAGCATGGTTACCAAACCCATTCGCAATCTCCCGGTCTGAACAGCAGCAGCCAACTGTCTCATTGAGGGCTCGGTGTCATAACGTAAACCAATCTTCGGATAGCCGAGGGCACTGGTGAGCCTCAAGATCTCCTGCGTGGCATAGCGAAGCGAGCTGCCACCTTTGCGATCCAATCCAACCACATGCACGTACTTGCTCTGGCTGTCTACACACACGAGGTGGGTGCAGAGAGGTTTCTCATCGCCCTCCGTTTTGGTGAACATGTAGTCGATGCTGATCAAGGGAAACTCACGCTTCGGCTGTGTGTCACTGTAGTAGTTGTCTTCGCGGCTCCGAGAGGCAACACAGGCTTCACACCAAGGCGCCCGAGGCATGTGGGTGATCTCGTGCAGCTCAATCAAAGCCGGGTCATCCGGAGGCTTAGGCAACGCCTCGGTCAGCGGCTCCCTCTCGAACTGCTTTTGTACTGCCTCGGAAGCTTGGACACCAGACTTCAGACGAGCCATCGCCACCTCTCGCTTGAGCCTCTGCCAGACAGCGGCCTTCGCGCCGTTCTTCGAAAGCCCCAGGAAGCGGCACGCAACTCTTAGCTCGCGAAGGGAGCTAAGCTCACTGAGAACCACACCATTGACCTGAATGGCCTCTTGATCTTCTGCATCAACTTCAACAGGAGCAGGCCCGATCATGGGCCTTTCAGCTTCTTCTGCATCCACCTCCATCTCATCTCGTTCGGCTGCAGGAGGATCGGGTCGAGGATCAGCAGGTGGTTCTCTGGTACCCAAGATCTCCCCAAGAACCTCAAAATCAATCGAGTCTTTCAGAAGAAAGGTAAGGACTTTCTTCTCCTTGCTGTCAAACTCAAGATACTTAGGTGAGTTTCCAGGACTCGAAGGGCCCCAGTACTCGCCACCTTCGAAGATCTCGTAGTGGTTGCTGCCCCTCCAGAGAAGAGTGAGCCGAAGGGGCCACTCATCAGGATCGAAACGGTCGCTGGCATCAAGAGTGCCCTTTGCAGCGACTGCCATGTGTGCGGGCCAACCCTCGGTACTCAAACTCCACCCTGGTGTGTTTGCATGAGACTCCAAAGACTCCTTCAAAGCAACAACCATGCGCAACTCAAGCGGGATCACTGAGGCCTTCGGACTGTCAGGGGCAACATCTTCACGGACAAGCTGCGAATCATCATGCACTCTATAAATCCTCATGTTTGCTGCAAGGGAGTTCTTCGCCCAGTGAACCCCAAACTGAGAGCCATCTTTTTGCATGTACCACTCGCCATCTACCTTCATGGGGGTCCACAGGCTCTTGAGCATCTTCCCAAAGCAAAACAGAGGCTGCTTGACCCTGGCAAGGATGGCCTGGTCCACAAACTGAATGATCTCGCCATCGGATCCTACCACCTCAAACACAACGCGCTGTCTCGTAGAACTCGGGGGTATGTGGTTGCCCTGCGCATCTAGGAGCGTAGCTTGCTTCTCACCTTCAACACCTACATGACCAAACTGCTCAAGAGGAAGAACTGTGCAATCAGCCCCACTGTCGAGGATAACCTCGTAAAGCCCTGTGTCGCCAACGGCACGCAGCTCAAGAGTCTCTCCCTCACTCTCAGAAGAATGCATACGGTACCAAAGGCAACTGTCATGACAAAGCTCGGGCTCAGCACTGCTATCAGCGGCAACTTGATCTGCAACAGCATGCTCCTCAACACCCAACCTGCGGATCTCATTGAAGAAGGTGATCGCGATGTCCTCGTTGAGGCTTTCCTCCAAGGCACAAAGGTCAGCACGCTGCACTTTAGGAGCACCACGGTTCAAAGCAGTAGCAGAAGTGGGTGCAGTAGAGGTAGTTGATGCTGTGTCGTCTGCTTGCACTTGATTGACTCTATGGCGGCACTCAGCTGCAAAGTGTCCAGGCTTACCACACACGAAGCAAACTGCGTTAGGCTTTCGAGACTTTCCACCGTCTCCTTTCCCATTCTTGCCCTTGTCCTTCTTTCCCTTGCCAGGCTGTTTGCCCTTTGCGTCCTTGCCCCAAGGTTGCCCCCAGTGTGGAGCATTCTTGCCCTTGTCCTTGCCACCTTTGCCAAGGAACTTTCCTTTTCCCTTCTTTCCTTTCTTGCCCTTCTCGACTCGGTCCACGTCCATCGCCGTGGGGTCGCTCTGGTTGACCACGCCAATGCCCAGAGACCGCAAGACAGTCTCAGAACTCCAAGAAGAAGAAGACCGTTCGTATTGGAGGATCTTCTCACGGATGTCTTCATAGGTACTCTTCTCGTTCACTTGCATTTGCAAGTAGCGTCTCATCTCTGCAGGCAATCCAGACAACAGCGTGGCGATCTTTAGGTCGGCCGCGTACTTGTGGGGCGAGATGGCCTCATAGTCCCCCACAAGGTGCTCAAACGACAAGATGTAGTCGAGCAGGCTGCTGTTCTCCTTGTACGGCGGGAAGCGCGTTAGCGCCTGGGCCAACGCTAACGTTCGAGGTCGCGCCCTCGGAGCCAATTCGTCGTTCAATTGGCGCCATACTCTGAACCCGTCCGCATTCTGAGTCGCACGAAGAAGTTTGAGTGGTCTTCCTCGCAGATAAGAAGACAATAGAGCGTACAACCTCACCGCCCGCTCCTTCCTGTCATCAGGGTAATCAGCAAAGGAGACAAACGACTCAGCAACTTCAGCCTGGGACATGTCATCATGGAATTTCGGGTCTTGTACCATCATGAAAGACTTGAAGCGGAAGCTCCAGTCTCCCCACATCTGAAGCTCTTGCTCCAGATCCTTTGGATCGAAGAGCTCAGGCTGCTTCACAAACTTGCTTTCCTTCCAGTTGGACTGCGAAAAGTTCGAAGAGGAAGCAGTAGCCAGCTGGGCCACGGCCTGAGCCAACCGCTCAAGCACCACTTCTCCAGTCAAGGCAGTCGGTGCAGCAGAAGGGCTAGCACCGGCATCATCATCAAGGTCTTGCTCTGTACCCTGCATATCTCACAAGTAGCTGACTCAAGGCTCAAGTTCAGCCGCGGTTGTAGTAGAGCTCAAGCACCGGCCGAGCGCTGGCAAGACAGCACAAGACACGGTCGAGGATATGCCGGCCAAGCTGGAGGCACACTAAGGCTCAGGGGCACTACAGGAAGCTAGAACAACCTAAGTCACCCTACTCTGTGGCTCTGGGTCCTGGCCACTGCGGTTTGGGTCCCGACCGCCGAGGAGCTCTGGTACCCAAAGGTGACCGTCGCGGCTCCGCTACCATGAAACCGTCACGCAGAATTTCTTTCACACTCTTTTGAGCCTTTGAGTCCCGGCAGTCGGTATTCCTTCAGGAATGGAAAACAAGCTGTGCCACAAAACACATGATAAAATGGGGTATCTGGATGCTGTCAAAAGTTGTCGCTTTTGCTAAGCCCGGCCAATGGGAAGCGAGTGTGAGGACCTTGAATGTGCAGATGAGCACCGGAGGTAGACTTCAAGCTCTCACCGCAACCTGCATAATCCGCATCTGCAAATAGCCGAGGGAGTCCCCGACCCAGCCAATCATCAGATGATGCTTGGACTGTTGCACATACGCCATGAGGTGATGCACCAATGCGTCCTCCTTCTTGGTCCATTTGGTAGTCTTGCGTGCGAGATTGTTGATGCTGCGCAAGAGGTCGAATCGACAAATTCGAGCGGCATATAGCAATTTCATGAGGATGCTGGCCGCCTGAGGTGCTAAAGCTCCTCGGTTTGCCTCTGTGACCTCCTCTTCCGTTGGGCCCTTTGGAATAGGTGGAGGCGGAACTAACCGACCATCCGCGTCAACAGGCATAGTGTGTCCACACCATGTGCATCGATGACTTTGTCCGTTGCATACCGGAGCCCGAGCTGGACGATGTTTTGTTTCTTCCGCTGGACTCGGCGATGGTACCGTTTTGAATTTGGATGGAACGAAGCCTGTGACTTCACAATACTTCTTGACTGTCATGTCCAGGTACGTCTCCATATCGTAAGTGACCGTTCGCACTGGCGTCTTGTCATGAAGGACAGCTTCGCCTTTGGAAATGCGACAACCCAAGTATAGACCCAATGGTGTTTCTTCTCCGAGACGAAGTTCTTTACGAAGCATAGACCAGCCTTTGGGCAGCTGTGCAGTTGGTCCCGCCATCTTGAGATCGTCGACGTAGATCACCAACAGCAGGTTCATTTCAGGATGGAAATACAACGATGGCCATTCGTCCCCAGGCGGCTTGAAACCTACTTTCTGTACCGCGGTGTGACAATGCTGCTCCCACATGGTTCCAGCGTCTGGGTGTCCATATAATGCCTTGACCAAGCGGCATACGGGTCGACGGTATTTGTGACGATTGGCAGATGGATGCCATGCCTCATCAGCTAGCTCAACCCAACACGGAGTGCCGGTCAGCTTCGCTTGAATGTATGCTTGAATAGCATCAGCCATCTGAACGTATTTACCGGGTAAACAACCGTAATAGTCAGCCCATCGAGATGCATCAAATGTGGCTGGCGAATTGCCGAGGTCTTGGAAGAGCGCGGCTTCCATGTTTTGATCTTTGACTTGATCACCAAGAAGCACACCGCGACCTTTAAACTTCCTGGCTGGATCATCCTCTTTCAGCTGATAATTCTTCTCGTAGATCAATCCATGTACACGAGCCATATGAACTTTCTGTCCCTTTCTGTTGGCTTCGTTTACCACGTCATCATATTCCCTGGTTTGAGAGAAGTCGAAAACTTCCTGATCCCACAATCCTTTCCATTCCTTCATGAATGCCTCCATTGCTTTTCGGATTGTTGATCATCTCTTTCCTGGTGACTGGACGTGTGACCGTGGCATTGAAACAATTCCCATGTTTCCGCTCTTGACTCGATGCTTGTGCTGAATCGATGTTGTGCATGGCATGGCAGGTATCCAGTCGTCGTCGAACACGGAGCAGGCGGGTACGGCTGGTACGACATCATGAAGAAACTCCTCCTGTAGTTGTTGTTGAACAGACTCTTGAGCCCAGTCCCAACCTTCTGTGCAAGAGCTTCCCAATTCAAGGTCGATCTTGTCGCACTGAACAATCTTTGGGAAAGTCGTCTTGTCCAATACTTTCTCAACCAACTTCTTGCCCACTGCGGCTCTCTTCCTGGATCTCTTGGCATCTTGTGCCCTTTCCCTCTTGGCTTTCTTGTGTGCCTTCGCTTTTGCTTTTGCATCCATCTTG